TATTTATTATTTTTATTTTATGTGTATGAGTGTATTGTCTGCATGTATGTGAGTGTACCTGTGTTGTACAGTGCCGTGGAGGTCAGAAGAGGGCTTCGGATTCCCCTGGAACTGGAGTTAAGGATGGTTCAGAACCGCCATGTTAGTGCTGGGAATCGAACCTGGGTCTTCTGCAAGAGCAGTCAGTGCTCTTAATCACTGAGCCATCTCTCCAGCCCCTATACCTTAAATTTAATGTGCCGTATTCTTTCAAAGTATAGAAAAGCTCCAGTAATCTTTTTGTGATAAATTTGAGGTAAAGACTACATTTTATGGCGGTGGGTTATGTGCATTTAGACGCATGAAAAGAAGTACCGCAGTGGTTTCTGTTCAATACTATTACGTCAAGCAAATACTGTAAACATAAAAACAGCAAAAAATGAAAGGAAAATGAATCTTGTATTTTGTAAATCCTTCTCTTCCTGTATAATGTCATTATAGGAATGGGAATTTTTAAAGAAAAATAATTTTTAGTGTATGCTTTTTTTTAAGTTAAGTTTTGCTTTATTTGGTGTATTCCCTTTACCTATTTTTCCTTCCATTTCAAAAGGCCTCAATGTAATGTTGATGGGGATAGGACATATGGTTCTGGGACTTTGGGTGGTCAGATCAGAATACAATTACGCTTTTGTGGTATCTATAGTCAATACCATTGCATTTGATTCTGTAGTGCTTTTAACATATGCCTTTGAAATATGATTGGTTAATCATAAAAGCTTTTGAATATAGAGAAACTCATTCAATTCAAGCTCTGAAACTCTGAGATAGGGTATGCCTGTAAGATGATTTTGTGGAACAGTAATGAACCTCTGTTATGCTAATTATAGACATTATATGAAAATCTAGTCTGGTGTGAGTGTTAAAACCATGTGAAATTTTAAATGGTAAATTAACTGTTACTTAACAAGTTATTTTCATGTTATATAAGACTCTGGCTCCCATATTTTGTATAGCAAGCAAGATTAATTTCCAGATAATTAACCCCATTGTACTGAACCTGAGAGATCTAGTATCTTATTACTGCAACCTTTTTGATTTTGCAAGAGCTACTCTGTGTTACCTGAATGCTGACTAAGAAAGAGAAGGAACAGAAATGATGAAAAACAAAACACCAAAATCCTTTAAGAGTAAATATACTTAGGAACAAGATATTTAGCTTGGTATGTACAGTTTGTATCATGGCACTCTAGTGTCTACTAAATAATCATATTTTCATGCTCAAATTCTATAAAATTAGAAATCTAGTTGATTATTCTGAGCCCGCAAAATAATTTTACTGCCTAAAATTGCCATTCTTTCTTGACCAGCTATTCTTATGACATACTTTAAAGATGCAGTTTTATTTAATAATAACATGACTTGTAATTTATGGTAAGATAAATTTCACTGTGAGGAATTATTTTAATTAAGATGTTAGGAAAAATCTGAAGCTCTTTAAATTACCTCTTTACAGTATAGAATAGCTCATACAATGATACATTTCAAGATCTTAATTTTTATATAAAAATTAAAACTGGTAATTTCTTGGCAGTCTGCATCAGTACTCAAAGTCAGATAGAAGTAATTTGAATTTTCTCATCTTTGTTAAAATAAAAGCTTTCTGTGACTAACTCCTTATGTAATCAGAGAGCTTTAGTAAAGGACTAGCAATTTTTCTAGATTTCTCTTTAAGAACAATATTTTGTTAAGACAGACTGGACTGCTGAAATAACATTGCTCTGAGAAAATGAAATTAGCAAGGAACCAGTTTAACATGAAATGCTTTTGATTTACTTAAGGTCTAGATAGAGATCAGATTCATACAAAATGTAATGAATTTTCCATTAAGGCACAGATGGCAAGGATGCTTATCAAATAGCACAAGGCAGTCATTTTATTTTCGTAATAAAATCCTACCAAATAATGCAATGAATACATTGTGTTTTTGTGTGTGTCTTTAGTAGAAACAATGCTTTCATGGTTCATTTTCATGGTAAAATATTTTCCTACTGTTTCATAATGATATAGACTACAAAATAAAAAGAATAAATAAACCTACCTCTCGACTGGAAGGCTGCTGTTGAAGCAATGGTGTCGTCTGTTTGTAATGCAGTTTAGTGCAGCCAAGATGGAGCTGTGCTTCTATTGGTCAGACTCACAGTGCAGCTGACAGCTTCCTCTGTGTTCATTTGCATTAATTCCGGAATCCTGAAGAGCAAATCATTCATAAACCTGAATAGAGCTGCCTGAGGTATCAGCTACACCAGAATACCCCATTTCCTTTATTTTTTTTTTATCCTTAAACTAAATTTTTACATAGGAATTGGGAATTACTAGTGAATTCATGATTTCTTAGGTTTTTTTTTTTTTTTTTTTTTTTTTTTTAATAAAATTTCACTAGCGCTAGAATGCAATGTCTTGATAGGTGGTAGCCCAGGAAACAACCCAGGTTGACCAGTTTGATGTTTTCCCTCCAGGAAGTGTGCATAAAATCTCATAAATGAATTTTTAAACTTTTAATACTTGTTCCATATACAGACCTTGCTTTCTGGAATTATGGACATACAGTGCTTGTATTTGTGAGAAATTCTGAGGGAAAAGGTCTGGCTAGTTTAGGTGGGTGTTTTTTTTTTTTTTAATTTTTTTAAAAGATAAAGATAGCTTTCATGTTTTTGGCTAGGTCTAGTCTTATGAACTTGCAAATGCAAAGTCATTTCCAGCTAACTGTTCATTGTTGTTTTTAGTTATGGTGATAAGAGTTTGGTTTAAACATAGCAGAATCAACATTTTTAAATGAAAGGAATAGCTTGTTCCTTGCTACATAATAGACTTAAAAAAATAATAGATAAGTCATTGCATTAGCTCTGGGGCCATAAAGGAGTACATGGAAATATCCTCATTACATTAATCATTCAGTAGATATTTGACTGTTGACTGTGGTTGGCACAGCATTAAGTACTGGGAATGTTGTGGTAAGCAAAACTATGTGGTTCATAATTGATCCTTTGTTTGGTGTTTTTCCTTAAGATACTGTCATTTCTTTTAGTCTTCCCAGTTCTTTATCAGTAGTATAGGTAAACTTAACAGGGTTTTACTAAATTAAAGTGCTGGGTCTGGTGGTACAGGCCTTATCATCCTAGCTACTTAGGAGTCTGAGGCGGGAGGATCACAACTTCAAGACCAGTCTGAGTACTTTGTGAGACACTGTCTCAAATAAAAAGTAAAACTAAGAGGTGTGGCGTTATAGCTTAGTGGTAGAACGCTTGCTTAGCACTTTTGAGGTCCTAAATTAATGTACATTTATGGATGTCTTTGGACAACATGGCCTGTTTCCAGTGGAATAATCTGTGTGAAGGCTAGTTCACAGATCTTATACAAGGCAATATTACAATAATTGATTTAAATAATGCCTTGTTACTATCCTCAATAGTCTATAATTTTTTTGATTTATTTATTTTGGTCTTTTTGAGACAGGGTCTCCCTGTAGCCCCAACTGACCTGGAACTCCCAGAGAGCCTCCTACCTTTGCCTCCCGAGTGCTGAGACTAAAGGCGTGCACCACCATGCGCGGCTGATTTATTTTTATGTGTATGAGTGTTTTCTCTGAATGTATGTATGTACAGCATGTGCATACAAGTGCCAGAAGACAACGTCAGATCCCTTGGAACTAGAATTCACAGATGACTTGTTAACTGTTATGTGGGTGCTGGGAACTAAACCCTGATTCTCTGCAAGAGCAGTCTGTGCTCTTAACTGCTGAGCTGTCTCTTGATCCTCTAACCTCAATATTCTCATATTTAAAAGAGGACAATTAAGTCTAGGGAGGTATATTAGTTGGTAAAGTGCTTACTTTGCAAGCATAAGAACTTGAGTTCAGATTCCCATCACGCATGTAAAAACTTGGCACAGTGAGTTCAGATTCCCATCACCCATGTAAAAACTTGGCACAGGAGCATGCACCTATAATCCCAGTATTGGAGAGGCAGAAACAAGGAGGACCCTGGGGCTTGCTGGCCAGCTAGTCTAGCCAATTGATGAGCTTCAGGTTCAATGAGAGACCTGGCTCAGAAAAAATAAAATGGAGAAGCAATTGAGGAAGGTACCCAGGATCAGCCTCTGGCCTGTGTGGACTCACTATGTAGACCAGGCTGGCCTTGAATTCACAGAGATCGTCCTGCTCCTGCCTCCTGGCTAATAATCGCCTCTTAAATAGTATTTTTAGGGGCTGGAGAGATGGCTCAGAGGTTAAGAGCAATAGCTGCTCTTGCAGAGGACCTGGGTTCAGGTCCCAGCATGCACATGGCAGCTAACAGCCATCTGTAACTCCAGTTCCAGAGGATCTGACACCCTCTTCTTACCTCCATGGGTACTGCATGATACGGGTACACTTAGATATATGCAGACACTCACTCATACATGTGAACTAAAAATAATAAAATATTTTTTGTGTTTTGAACATCTTGGGAACAATGACACATGTGCAAACATTTAAGTGTTAGTAGCATTAAAAATGTCGGAAACAGGTTTTTTTTTTTTTTTTGTCTTTTTGAGACAGGGTCTCCTTGTAGCCCCAGCTGTCCTGGAACTCACTATGTAGACCAGGCTGGTCTTGAACTCACAAAGATCTGCCGGCTCTGCCTCCCAAGTGCTGGGATTAAAGGCATGTGTCACTATGCCTGGCTGAGGAAACAGCGTATTTTAAAACGAAATGGAGATCTTCTTTAAAGGGTAAAAACTCTTTCAATTTTATATCTTACAGGGTTTTTACTGAGTTCAGTATTATATAACTGTTAATTCAACTGTGAACCTAAAAATTTACAGCCACTGTTGAAAGAGATGTATCCTTGCTCTGGAGTGTGTTACTGCATATGTTAAAGCTATAATGAAATGCTTCTTCTAATCATATAGTTATTAAAAATTAAAGAAAATATATACATATGTATAAGGATAGATATGACAGATGGAATGAGTATCAAAAAGTTTAACAGGTTTAGAGTCTGGAGAGATGGCTCAGTGGTTAAGAGCACTGACTGCTCTTGCAGAGGACAGTAACTGACTGTGATTAGTAATAATCAGATATATAGAGATTAGAAATGCATGTACATCTTAGCGTTAATTGCATTGAAAATGAATTTTTCTGTATGAAACCGTATTTTAGTAAGGAAATGGAGATCTTTTTTAAAAGTTAAAACCTCATTTAATTTTATGTCTTATAGAGTTTATACTGAGTACAATATTGTATAACTGTATTAATTCAACTGTAAACCTAGAAATTTACAGGCAATTTTGAAAGAGCTGCATCTTAGCTCTGGAAATCGTTATTGAACATGTCAATGCTCTTGTAATGAAATGCTTCTTCTAATTATGTGGTTATTAAATAAATAATTAAAATATTTCATAATTGAAGCAATAAATGTGTTATCCTCATCGAAACAGGGTTTCTTGTAGCTCAGGCTAGCCTTAGACTTGCTAGATAGCTGAGAATAACTGTGAACTTAAAAAAACATTATTTTCCCACTTTTTAAAGTTACGTATATATGCATGTTTGTGTGTGTATATAAATGTATAACATGTATGGGCAGGCGTGTGGGGATGCCTGAAGAGGGTGTTGGATCCCTTGGAGCAGCTGGAATTACAGGTGGTTGTTAAGGTACCTGTGTCGGTACTGAGAACTCAACTCCTGGTGCTCCATCATAGCCAATTTTTTATCCCCAGTCCCTTTTGTATTCCATCCTGTCCCTGTCTCCTCCAGCCCCCCAAACCTGCTCCCTCTGTTTTTTAAAATATACATTTTAAAATTTTATGTGTATGAGTGTAATGCCTACATGTAGATAGGTACATCTGTGTCATGGCAGTGCTGGTTGAGGTCAGAAGAGGGCATTGGATCCCCTGAAACTGGAGTTACAGATAATTGTTAGCTGCTTTGTGTTTGCTGGGAATAGAATCAGGGTTCTCTCCAACAGCAGGTCTTAACCACTGAGCCATCTCTCCAGCCCCCACCCCCCACTTTGTTGAGAGGTGAGAGGTCGCCTTGCTGTGTAGCCTGTGCCTGCCTGCAGCTTGCTGTGTGGTGGTTGCTGGCAGTTGAACTCACTGTGATCCTCCTGCCTCAGTCTCCCAAGTACTAAGATTGTAGACATGCCACCACTATTGGTTTTTGAAATATTATGTAAAAGCACATCAGGAAGGCATTCTTAATAATATTATTACTGGTTTTTGGAAATAGTAGACTTTAATGTGCCAGTTATTTTTAAAATTACAAACTGTTTCTAAGAGAGATTCCACATGAGGTTTCATTTTAGTATCAAAGGGAAAAAAAATTCAATAAAGACTTTCACTAACTAATCTCAAAGGAATATTATGCTGCCATATAGAAACTGTTGTTTTGGATCTCTGACAGTTGTTACATTTGACTTGTGGTTGTTCTAATGCAATCTTTTATTTAAATGGTTATTACCAAGCTGATGCCAGAGATAGTTCACCCCTCTTTTACTTAACCTCTCTCTTCGTGGATCAGCCACATGGGAACGTTATAATATCTGATCTGTTGTCTTGCTAATAGAATGTGTACTTCTTAAATGCTTTTCTAGTGGAGTGGGATGAAGATGCCTATAAAAGAACTGTATTTTGGAATAGGGCTGTAGCTCATTGTTAAGAGTGTTTGCCTTACATACACAAGGTCCTGACTGTAAACTTCAACATCTCACCTCCACAATAACTGTATTTTAGTGCTTTTAAATTATTTATATTTAGCCTGATGTAGTGGCACAACCCACCACATTGAAGGCTAAATTGGAGGATGGTGAGTTCAAGACTGGCTTGTACAACCTTCTCTCAAAAAAAAAAAAAAAGGGTGGATTGATAGTTTAATATAATACACACATGGTGATTTTGTGTTTTCTACCAAAACACAAAATTAGAATTAATCAGATGAAAAAATTCAAATGAATACTTTGAGTTAAAATCATTTTCTCTACTTAGGTCATAACAGCATATAATATGAAATGTTACAATAATTTTTTGAATTTCACTTTTAGATCATAGCAATGGATCATTTAACCTGAAAGCTCTGTCAGGAAGTTCTGGATACAAATTTGGTGTTCTTGCTAAGATTGTGAATTACATGAAAGTAAGTACTCAAAAATCATGTTTCATTTTTTGACAAGAGGAATTGGGAGATTTGGTTTTTCAGAAGTTAAATTTTTATATACACATGCCAAGATTTACCAGATTATGCATTTTCAGTATGTATAGATTATTATATGCTAATTATACCTCAGTAAACCCATAATATATTTAATGCTTAGAGCCTTTTACTCTCCATTAAATCACTTAAGTATATTTAGTTTACAGTGTAGTTAAGTATACAATTTAAGCCCACCATTTGACTTAAAAAAGAGTGTGCCCAGGTAGTAGATACATTACCTCTTGGTAAGTAATTATTGGCGAAACCAGTGGAGTATGTGAATGGTTTTTTAAGATACCATTGAAATGAGAAATAAAAGCTACATAGTTCAAGCAGATGATGTTGCCAGATTATCTCCTCAGAGGAGAAAATTAGAGAATTACTTAGGGTCTTAGGAAAACTTTGACTCACAAAAAGAACTTTTTTCTTGGTCTTTTTGAGACAAGGTCTCTCTGTAGCCTCAGCTGACCTGGAACTCACTATGTAGACCAGGATGGCCTGGAACTCATAGAGATCTGCCTGCTTCTGCCTCCTGAGTGCTGGGGGCATGTGCCACCACATGCCGGCACAAAAAGAATTATAATGTAATATTTAAGATATTTAGTATTGGGGCTGGAGAGATGGCTCAGCGGTTGAGAGCACCGACTGCTCTTGCAAAGGACCGGGGTTTGATCCCTAGCACCCACGTGGCAGCTAAGAATTGTCCTTAACTCCAGTTCCAGAAGAATCTGATGCCCTCTTCTGACCCCCGAAGCATTGCATGATGCAGGTACACTCATATACATGTAAACAATATACTCCTATACATAAAATCATAAAAATAAATATTTTTAAAAATTTAGTATTAAAGAACTCTATATATTTTATATATATAATATATACATATATATATATATATATATATGTGTATGTTTTGCCTTTAAGTGCACCATGTGTGTGCTGGTGCCTGCAGAGGCCAGAAGAGGGTGTCAGATCCCTCAAACTGAAGTTACACATACTTGTTAGCTGCCATGTGTATGCTTGAACCAAACCTGGGGCCTCTAGAAGAGCAGCCAGTACCTTTAACCTCTGAGTCATCTCTATAGTCCCCTAGTATTTAGTATTTTTTGAACACTTTGAGTTTTAATGCAGGCTTTGAATCTTTTTTTCCCAACACCCATGCAACACACTGAATCCTATCCTCATCCCTTAAGAGTTTGAGTCTTGCTAGGTGTGGTAGCATACACCTTTACCCCAGCACTTGGGAGGCAGAAGCAGGTAGATCTCTGAATTCAAGGCCATCCTGGTTTACATAGCAAGTTTTTTCTTGTTAACAAAGGTAAAATGAAAAAAGGAAGTTTGAATCTTTATTTCTGAAGTGAGATTTCACTTACAGCTAAGTTGGCTAAGTGATTTCAGATTTACTACTACTTCTGCCAAACTCTTATTTACCTACCAGGGTGAATTTCTTGAAAAAGTCAAAGGACTATATTTGCTAATATTTTAGTCTCACCCATCTGTTGCTTAAAATAGAAATGCAATTTTTAGAATATATTTTTAAATTTTATTGTGTACATTCATGATGTGTGTGGGGGCTTATGCATTGGAGTGTGTGTGTATGGAGGGTGGAAGACAACCTTCCAGAGTCAGTTGGTTCTCTCCTTCCACCTTTGTGTGCATTCCAGGGATTGAACTCAGGTTGCCAGGCTTGCAGGCCAAATGCATTGACCTGTTGAGTCATCTCACTGGTCCATAAATCAGGTTTTTAACTATGCTAGTGCTTGTGTTTGTATGTGTCTCTGTGTGGTATGTCTTGTGAGTACTGGTGCCCTTGGAGTTCTTAAAAGAACATTAAGAGATAGCCTGTCTGACTGTGTCTGAATTCTGTAATTTTACTTTTAGTAGAAGCATGTTAGTTTATGATTTCCCCAGAATCAAATGATACACATATATTCACCATTCATTCATTCTGTCCATCCCATGTCCCATGTGGTAAACAAATATCAAAATGTATGTATGAGGATGGAGAGCTGTCTCAGCAGTTAAGGGTGTGTACTGCTCTTGCGATGACCTGAGCTTAGTTCCCAGTACTGACACTTGGTAGCTCACAACCACCTGAAACTCCAATTCCTGGGGTATCTGAGGGTTCTGACCTCCAAGAGCCCCACCTCTGAACTCCAAGGGCACCAGCACTCATAAGACATACCACACAGAGACACATACAAACACATGGTTAAAAAATAAATAGGCTGGGTATGGTGGCGCGCGCCTTTAATACCAGCACTTGGGAGGCAGAGGCAGGCGGATCTCTGTGAATTAAAGGCCAGCCTGGTCTACATAGTGAGTTTCAGGACAGCTGGGGCTACCTGGAGACCCTGTCTCAAAAAGACCCCCCCCCAAAAAAAAAGTAATGAAATAAGGCCAGTTATGGTGGTATATGCCTATAATCACAGCACTTGGGAGGCAGAGGCAGGTGGATCTCTGAGATTGAGGCTAGCCTGGTCTACATAAGCAAGTCCCAGGGCAGCTGGAGCTATAGGGAGACCGTTTCTCAAAAAAATAAGAAAAAAAAAAATCTCTTATATTTAAATTATTTATAGTACCCATAGTGGAATAACCGAAAGGATTTTTATCCTTTTAGCACTGTCAGTCGAAGAACTACCAGTGTTTTGTCTATACTGCTCCATTAACGCAGTCTTCACTTACCTAGATGACTAAATTTGTTATTTACCTGGAACAATGGTCTTGATAGTTTATCTCAAATATTCCCTAAAGCAGTTTTGGAAAACTGAATATCCTTTTGCACATATTGAAATTGATAAGTGCAATATTTTAGCAAAATTGAAAATAGGGTTATTATTTAGTTGAAAGTTTAAATGGCAAACAAAAATACTTTCTGGTATAGTATAATATTTCGATAAAACACATTACTCTTAAATTTATCTAATGGAACCTTAATGTTACTATGAATGTGAAAACATGAAAATAAATTGTAATGGTTGGATATTTTAACTGATTTTTCTTTGAACTTTTTTTTTTTTGTCTTTTTGAGACAGGGTCTTCCTGTAGCCCCAGCTGTCCTGGAACTCACTATGTGGACCAGGCTGGCCTTGAACCCACAGAGATCTGCCTGCCTCTGCCTCCCAAGTGCTGGGATTAAAGGCATGTGCCACCATGCCTGGCTTCTTTCAACTTTTGTGTCCCTTCTGTTTCTCTCCTTGGATTTTACCCTAATGTTAAGTATTTTCCTCCTTAAAATCTTTACTTGTGGGGTTGGAGATGACTCGGCAATTAAGAGCACTGACTGCTCTTGCAGCAGACTGGAGTTGGGTCCCAGCACCCACATGGTGGCTAACAACTGTCTGTAATTCCAGTTCCAGGGGATCCAACAGCCTCCTCTGATCTCCATGGGCATTGCACAACACAGATGCACTTAACTACATGAAGGCAATACATTCACACACATTAAAAATAAATAAAAATCTTTACTTGTTTAACTCTCAATCTTTTCCTTAATAACATAAATGAAGTTAAAAAACGTTTTCATATGATCACAAGGCTCTAAAGAGTAGTATCTTCTGCTTTGCGTTATTTTGCAATTATTAATATACAGTTGATTAGGATAACTAAATTCTACTTTGTTTGCAACAGTAATCCATCCTTCAAGGAAAAGTGGAACTGTCTCCTCTCTTTCAATAGTTTCTGTATCCAAAGGTGTTTGCTGCTTATCCATAAAATAAAATAGAATTTGGTGGCATGTCTGTTCCTGTTTTTACTTTGGTAGGTTTAAGTTCTGAGAAACGAATGTTCATGAAATGAAGTTAATTCTAATGGAAGTTTTGTGATAAGCAGTCTTTCAAGTCACATGCCAAAAACCACTTAGTGCTTTATTTGCAAGCACCCATCATTTGACACAGTTTTCTTGAAAGCAAAACAGTGGAAACTACCTAACTTTCCAAGGGATTTGTTATCTGATCCTTAACCATTTACTTTCGTACCCTTTGCAGAGTATATCAAAAAGGCAGGAGCTGGAGCTCTATAATTCAGTGATAGAGTACTTTCCTATCATGTGTAAAGCCTTGGGTTCTATTCCTAGCACTGCCCCTATCTATCCCTAGACAAAAAATTAAAAAAGACTAGGTGTGTTATCCTTCTGCCTTTGTCATTGTACTATACGGGAGACTGAAACAGGAGGATCATCTACAAATCCAGGGCCATCCAGGGCTCCAGGATGTGGTAGAGGACAGCTTGCCAGAGTTGGTTCTTTCCTTCCACCGTGTGGGTTCTGAGGTTCTAACTCAGGTCTTTAGGTTTGGCAGTAAACACCTTTACCTGCTAAGCCATGTTGCTGGTCTAAGCAGTATTTGTTTTTTTTTAAATATTTTATTACTATATTATTTTGGTCTTTTTGAGGCAGTCTCCTTATAGCCCCAGCTGGCCTGGAACTCACTATGTAGACCAGGCTAGCCTTGAACTCACAGAGATCCACCTGCCTCTGCCTCCCAAGTGCTGGGATTAAAGGCGTGAGCTACCACGCCTGGCGTGTTTTTTATTTTTATTTTATGTGTATGAGTGTATTGTCTGCATGTAAGTGCACCTGTGTTGTGCACTGCCTGAGGAGTCAGAAGAGGGTGTTAAGATCCCCTGAAACTGGCATTACGAATGGTTGTTAAGCTGCCATGTGGGTGCTGGGAGTTGAACCCTGGTCCTCTGCAAGAGCAGCCAGTGTTCTTAGCTGCTGAGCCATCTCTCCAGCCCCAAGGTTCCCCCCCCAAGGTTTTTATCTATAGGTTTTATGTAGAATAATTTGAGCAGCTTGGTAGTCCTGGAAAATACTTTTGTTATTCAGAGGAAATGGCTTGCCAGTGCTTTTGCTCTTAATATTTTTTTTGAACATTTTTATTTTTTATGTATATGAGTATTTTGCCTAAATGTATGTAAATGTACCCATGTTGCCCACAGAGGCCATCAGATTCCCTGGAACTGGAATCATGGATGGTTGTTAGCCGATATGTGGGTGTTGGAAAATGAACTTGGGTCTCTGCAGAGTAGCAGCCAGAGCTTTTAATCACTGTGCCAGCTCTCCAGCCTCTGCTTTAGCGCCATGCTTTTTCATCAAGCTAATACATATTCAGAGGATGAGATTAGAGAATTGCTGAAGAGAATTATATTTAAAGTTTTGGAAAAAAAATTTTTACCATCAGATTAAACAACAAAGAAAATCAGTGTTCTATGGTTGGTTTGTTTTGACACGTGATCTCACTCTAGCCCCAGCTGACTTGGAACTCTATGTAATCCAGACTGGCCTCAATCACACAGAACTCCATCTGCCTCCTGAGTGCTAGAACTAAAGGGATGTGCCACCATGCCCAGCCCTTAGAATAAGTATGTTTTCTTTCTTTTTTTTTTTTGGAGATAGGGTCTCCCTGTAGCCCCAGCTGTCCTGGAACTCACTATGTAGACCAGGCTGGCCTTGAACTCACAGAGATCCGCCTGCCTCTGCCTCCTGAGTGCTGGGATTAAAGGCATGTGTCACCACGCCCAGCAGAATAAGTATGTTTTCAAAGTACTTCAAATTACTTTGAAGATTCCCTTATGAAGGATCCCCTTCTCCAGGAGATTCTGCCTTGCACCCTTCTTAGAGACCTCTGTGCCGAGTTTTAGCTACTCGATTCTGCTTTCTCATTCTAGTCAGTGTTGGATATGTTGCCCATGCCCAGCTCTTCTCTTTTTTTTTTCTTTCTATGTTTGTGTGTGTCTCCCTGCCCTAGTTCTGGGGATTAAACAGAGAGCCTCTTGCATGCTAGGCAAGCACTCCACAGACTGAGCTATATATCTCTAGAAACTTTTTACCTTTTATTTTGAGTCAAGGTTTTGATAATTGTCCAAACTGGCCTTGAACTCACTTTGTAACCTAGGCAGGCCTGGAACTGGTGATGCTTTTGCCTTAGTTTCCCCAAGTACCTGGGATTTCAGGTTTGTGTTTCTAGGCCTGGCTTAAATAAGTCTTTTTGAGAAATAATTTACCTTAAATTTTATAGATACATGATTAATTTGGCTCCTGTATTGAGAGCTTGTAAAAGACGGAAGTTTATTTTGTTGTTCTTTTGAGACAGGGTCTTCCAGTACCCTGGGCTGGCCTGGAACTTGCTATGTATACCAAGCTTGCCTTGAACTCACAAAGGTCTGCTTGCCTCTGCCTTCCAAGTGCTGTAACTAAAGGCATGTGCCACCACACCTGGTCGACATAAGTATTTCATTGCATTACATTATATTACCTCTGCACTTATAGCACATGGTAGTCAGTATTAAATATTCGAACAAATGACCAGCACGTACTCAGTAAGTGTTTTTTGTGTGTAATGTGTTATGCTTTTAAAAATCTACTTCCCAAACATTCTAGTTTTGAGAAGTTTATAATTCTAGTTTACTGGGCCAGACTGAAGCTCATAGAGGTTCTGTAACCTGCCTGAACCTAGAGCTAGGATATTTACAAAGTAATTTTGTTTTGAATCAGTAATATATATCTTAGTATAAAAAATAACATGAGCCGGGCATGGTGGCACATGCCTTTAATCCCAGCACTTGGGAGGCAGAGGCAGGTGGATCTCTGTGAGTTCAAGCCCAGCCTGGTCTACATAGTGAGTTCCAGGCCAGCTAGGGCTACAGAGAGACCTTGTCTTTTTTTAAAAAAAAAAAAAAAGGTAACGTATAAAATGGTTTAAACATGTCGTTCTCACTGCTAATCACTGCAGAGCATTGGTGATTTCGTTGGTATCATTGCGGTCCAACCAGGCTTTTTTACCACAGTGGAGGACACTAGAGGCAAGCCTCTTCTGAGATGTGAGCATACTCATGGCAGTGGTCCAGCAGTGACAGGGCCATATATAGAACTAAAGAAAACTTCTCTATAGTAATATTTATGTGCTGTAGCCTAATTTGTTGTTACTGATGACTACGTGGGTTTCTCTTTCACAAAAGTGCTGCAGTGATCTTTTCATCACTTTTCTGTGTTGGTCTATCTGTAGAATAAGTTCCCAGAGATGTGATTGCTAGGTTAGACTACATTTTGTCTTCCCTAAGGATTATACCACTTTATATTCTGAGACTAGCAGTCTGAAAAGGCCTGTTTCCATATATCCTCACCAATAGATGTCAGCATTTTTCTGATCTGATATGTGAGAAGCATCTTGGTGGAAGTTGGGTGTCTTTTCATGTTGCAGGCCATTTGGATTTCTTTTTGCGTTTCCCTGCAAGTTCTTTTTTTTTACTGGCTTAACTAGAAAACTTAGTTCTTTGGTTCTTCTCTCTTTCTTTCTCCTTCCTCCTCCCCCTCCTCCTTTTTACTCTTTCTCCTTCCTTTTCCTCCTCTTCCTTTCTCATTTTCCTCTGTGTAGCTTAGGTTGACCTTGAACTCACTTTGTAGCTGAGATTGGGCTTGAACTCACTATGTAATCCATGCTGGTTCTGAACTCGTGGATTCTCCTGCCACAGCCTCCCACAGCTGGGGTTATGCTTGTGTCTTAACACTCCTGACTTAAGGTTAGTATGTGTTCTACATTCCTCAAATGATTGATTTAGTGTATAATGTTGACTTAGTGCACTTAACATCTGAAAGTTTTGTTTAATGATACTGTCTTCCCTCAATAGACACGGCATCAGCGAGGCGATACACATCCTCTAACTTTAGAAGAAATTTTGGATGAAACACAACATTTAGATATCGGACTCAAGCAGAAACAATGGCTAATGACTGAGGTAAGAATCAGCTTAAAATATTGAAAAAAGTGGTTAATGATGAAAAAATATTTGTTACACTAAGTAAAGTTGGTTCTTTTTTTTCTTTTTTTGTGGTGTTAGAGATACAACCCATGGCCTTGGCCTTGAACATGGTAGGCAAACATTCTACCACTGATTAAGCGCCCTACCATTGCTTCATCCCCAAGCTCAGAGCCCTCCCACCTTGGCTTCCCAAGTGGTGGGGTGCTTTTAATAAATACTGTAATCTGATAATACTTTTTTTCTTTTTTTTGTTTTTTGATGGAGTTTTTGTTGTTACTTTTTGTTGTTGTTGTTGGGTTTTGTTTTTTTGTTGTTGTTTTGTTTTGTTTTTGGTCTTTTTGAGACAGGGTCTCCCTGTAGCCCCAGCTGGCCTGGAACTCACTATGTAGACCAGGCTGGCCTTGAACGCACAGAGATCTGCCTGCCTCTGCCTCCCGAGTGCTGGCATGTGCCACCACGCCCGGCGTGTTTTTGTCTTTTTGAGACAGGGTCTCCCTATAGCCCCAGCTGGCCTGGAATTTGTCATGTAGATCAAGCTGGCCTCAATCTCACAGAGATCCACCTGCCTCTGCCTCCTGAGTGCTGGGACTCAAGGGGTGAGCCACCATTCCCAGCTTTTACTTTTTCTTAAAAGAACTATCATAGGGGCTGGAGAGATGACTCAGTGGTTAAGAGCACACAGAAGACCGGGGTTCAAATCCCAGCACCCACATGCAGCTAATAACTGTCTGTAACTCCAGTCCCAGGGGATCTGACAGCCTCTTCTGACCTCCTCGGGCATTGCATGACATGGGTGTACTTACCTACACGCAGGCAATGCACACATACACATAAAATAAAAACAATGAAAAAAACCTGTCATAATCTGTTTTTAAAATATATACATTTCTAGCTGGGCATGGTGGTGCAAGCCTTTAGTCCCAGCACTCAGGAGGCAGAGACAGTTGGATCTCTGTGAGTTCAAAGCCAGCCTGGTCTACATAGTGAGTTCCAGGACAGCTGGGGCTACAGGGTGACCCTGTCTCAAAAAGACATATGTATACACACACACACACACACACACACACAAACACACACACATTTCTGTAAATTGTTGGTTTTCACATTTTATTTATTTTAATTTTATGTGTATGAGTGTTTTACCTGCATGTATGTAAGTGCGCCCATGTTGTGCAATGCCCACAGAAGTCAGAAGACTGCTTCAGATCCCCTGGAATTGGAGTTATAGATAGCTGTT